GATTGGCTCGAAAGACAGGCTATATATCAGATACATAAGCCTTGTCCTAGATATATTTCTCAAGCAAGTTTTAGCTCTATTACTAATCCTAATGAAGTACACCAGGCAGATGTTCTTTATACATGATATATTAAGTCAGGATGTACAATCTTTCTTTTTTACCTTAACTTAGTTGATGTAGCTTCAAGATATAAAGCATCTATTCCTATTGGTGTAGTACTTAGGAGGCCTACTAAGAGTATTAAGAATATGCAAGGTATTATAACTTCATCTACAATTGCGAAATACTTAGAAAAAATTTATGATGACCTTGAAAACCCTCTTATTTAGCCTAAAATATTTTTATCTGATAGGGGATTAGAATTTAAGGGTGAATGTGAGAGGATACTAAGAAAACATGGCGTAAAAATTCAGAAAGCCAAGTCTAAAAATACTATGGGTATTGCCGAAAGATATAACAGAACATTTACTGAGATATTTTATCGTATTTTTGATGGAAAGATTTATTGATTACTTTTCCTCGTCCTCTTGATTCAATCCAATATGAAAGCTTAGAGACTCTAATAAAAGATTTACCAAATATTGTTACTATAAAAGTAGAAGATATTAATAATTCTATCACACGTCATCTTGGTATTTCACCTGCTGAAGTAATAAAAAGAAAAAGTATTATCTCTAAACCTTTTTATCCTCAAGATGGTCCTATAGGCTTTGATGAAGAGAAGCTTTCTGGTGATGTGCTTGTAAGATATTTACTATATCCTAGTGATTAGAAAGGAGGAAGACGAAGAGCAGAAAATTTGAATTGGTCTTCACATATTTATCATATCCGTCAATTTATGGTACAAAAAATCAGCCAGTCTTATACTGGCTGGAAGAAGTCCTCTTTGGGTTAATTGTTAATGATAATTATATTCTCAAACATCCTAAAAGTCCTTTTGTTTGAGAAGAATTGATGATTATTCCTTATGATACAGAATTGCCTCCCCAGTGGGTACTCACGAATTAAATTTCTAAAGTGATAATAGGAAGTTTTCTGTTTCTTCGTCAACTTGTTCTTCAGTATTGAAATAATCTTTGGCAAATTTAAAGTATAATTTATATAGATCTATTATCGTATTAAAAATTTTTGGATCTTTTCCATACCAAGATTTATAGTTATCCATAATACTATGATATTTATCCTTATCTGAGAACAATCTTTTTGCATTTTCTAGAATATATGCATCGGGATCTTCTGCCTGGCGTAATTTTTTTACTTGCTCTTTATAACTTTGCATGAATTTGCCATCCTTTGGCTTTTTATAATATATTCCTGCTTTGACTATATTTATTAATGCCTTTTTGACTTCTTAGAAGGTTGGCTTTATTTCAGATAATTGAATTTGTATACTCATTATGTATAAAGTATATTTGCTGTTGACTTTTCTACATTGCAGATAATTTTGTTTAATTAAATTTTTCATCCTTATTGTAAATGATAGCATTTTATACTTATAACTATCTTCATAACTCTGACAAGACTTATGGCAAAGCCTGCACTCGTTCTGAGAGATGCCGACTGCATTTTAAAACTAGGAAGCGCTGGCCATGCTCTGAATGTGGTAAGCCTACTACTACAGCTTGTGGACGGTATGCTGAGCATATTAGAGGATATTATGTAATGCAATATTATAATAAATTGCGGGATAAGTCTCAGAAATTAGACTTGATAAAAGGTGATACTTGAAATATTGTATGCATTTTAGGCTTCTTTCATCATTTATTCTAATTTTTTCTGCACTTAGAGGTGAGACTTGATAAAAGGTGTGACTTAGAGGTGTGATTTAGAGGTAAGACTTAGAATATGGTATGCATTTTAGGCTTGCATGATCAGGTCTAGTGAAAATTGCGTCACTTTGTTCCTTGATTTTCGCTGGACCCACCAGAGGCAAGCAGAATAGCATAAAAGTTACTATTAAATTTGGGTTTGCAAAGTCGGACACAGCAAAAATCGCATCACTTTATTCCTTGATTTTCGCTAGGCCTTCCAAAGGCAAACAGAATAGTAAAAAATTTTTTAATATATTATTTGATATTAAAATCAAGCTAGAATAGTTATATTAATCAATATAGTTCTTGATATCAGATAGGCTAATTCCTAGTCAAGTTCGATATCATCATCTAGAATTGAGTTAAAAAGGCGCTAGAATTTTGAATAAATAGTAATAAAATATATAGCAAACTGGACTTGTAGGCGGATTTGAGTATTAAATAGGACAATTTGAGAGATCTGTTCCAAATCTCTCAAATTGCCATATATGTTATGGTATTAATGGCTTTTCTAATAGAAATCAAATGTTTGCTATTAATATTGATTGGCTAGTTAGTCAGTTTCAAAGAAAATTTGAATTTAGCTCAGACCTCATTCATTATTGGTAAAAAAGCATAAGTTAATATGAATTAAGTTCTTAAGTACAAAGTAATTATAGTAGTTTTTGAGTTGAGATACTGTATATCTGTAGTGATTTTAAAAGTAATTGTGACTTGTTATCACAGATTTTCAGTAATCATTAAATAATGTGTAATTTTTTCAAAAAAACTAAAAAAGGATCTGATACTTGCTTTTATTGTGAAAATCAGGATCTCTGTGACTTTGATCGATAATTTAGATTGATAATATACAATAGGTTAAATTGTAAAGAATTAGAATATAATATTATTTAAAATAAGGATTTGCATTGCTTTATTATAGATAAAACAAGAAGTAAATCCAATTTAAATTATTTTCTTTATGTTATCATTGGAGTTGTTTTTGATTGATACACTAATGAAAGTAAAGAACTGTGATTGTTAAACAATTTACAAACTTCATTAATTTTATCTTTGTTGAATTTGTTGAAAAATGTTTCTGTAATACAATAAGCATAAAAGGTTAAATATTATTTTTTCGTTTGAAAAAAAAGACATTTTTTGGTTAATATTTTTGGCAAGCATATTTTTGAAGCATTATATGACTGGTCTTCATCTAACATAACAGTTGATACAGATGAAATAGTCATTGCTATATTTTTTCTTTATCATTCAATGAACATGTAATAAAAGAAATAGGTTTAGTATCTATAAGCACTTATGGTAAAAAATTATTATAAGTTGAAAACTTTTGTTATTCCTATTCAGTTGGTTATTATTGGTTAAGTTGAAATTATTGTTGTTCTGTGATCTTATTTTCAAATATATTTTGTTTTACTTTTTTTATTGAAGTTTCATAAGTAACTAGTGACTTTGAACAGTCACATTAGGGTAAAGGTTTTCTATTCCTAGGTGTCATTTTTATTTTTTATTTTTTAGGAATTTTTGGAAGCTAAACAAATGAGTACTTAAGTTACATCAATTGTAAGGTTTCATTTTACATAACATTTTGTGATAATATTCACATAACATTCTTAATAATATTTCTGTAACATTAGTTTATGTAATATTTTATGATTATAAATAATTAAATTATAATTTTATTTTTATTTTTAAGAACATAGTCTTTTTTAATCCTCCTAACTATTTCTCTAAAAATCTCATCTACATAGTAATTAGAATACTCTTTTATTATTTTTAATTAAATCTAAAAAAAAAATTTATTTTTTAATAAATACCATATACAACATAATATATAATAATTAATAAATTAAAAAATATCACCTTCCTATTAGATCCATTAAAAATCTTTCTTCTACTAGCCTGTCCTTTCAATGATTTATAACACATTTCCATTTTAAAAACATTTCATTATTCTTGTAAAGTAGGAATGCTAATTTTCAATAAATAATATTTTTTTTTAAAGAAAACCTATCATAATACAAATATACTATACTCCAACTGTGATTCCTATTTTTTTTTCTGTGTTTTTTTGTGATTTTCTGATTCCTTAAAAAAAGTTGTGATTTCAAAGATTTAACTTTAATAAATCTTCTTGTAAATAACATATATTATAAATAAGGTGTATATTTATTAAAATATAAAAAAAAATTCAAAAAATTCGATCGTCGTCACATGATCGACATCAATCCAATAATACTATCTATTTGCTAAAATAATATTTCCCCACAAAGGCTTCTACATTTAATCAAATCATGTCACTTAATTAATTTTATCAAAAAATTTAAAAAGGAATAAGTTCACCATATTTCAATATTATTTAAACGTTTTCCCTATAAAAAATCACAAATTGAAATATTTAATCACATTTCAATCATAAACTTTCTTATGTGCAATAAATTATTATCTGAACTTTTATGTGAAATTGAAATAAATTTCTATAATATAATAGTCACGTGTTATGTAATTACAATTTTAAGAATTTAAGAAATCAATTTGATTTGCTTTTCTTATTTAATGTCAAATGAAGAAAGTTACACCAAAAATTTTTTTTCATCTGTGGGGTAAAAATCATTAGGAACGTACATATGGTAATGATTTTTGCATATCATAATCTGGATCCAATGCCGCTTAATGTGAATCAATATTATAAAATGTATCCATTTGGATTTATGTTGAGGCGTTTTGAATTGGATCCAGCTCTTAGGATTGAATTGATACCTTAATTTGTCAAAATACTTTTTATACCTAGCGCACGCTATGAAAAGGGAAGGATCAGTATTTTTCGTAATTTTCGGTGCGTTCTCTGAACTTTTCAAAAATTCATAAATCGTTATGGACATTTACCGGGCATTTCTTTTCATAAAAATGAAAAAAAATATATATTAATATTTAATTTTCATTAACAAACAACAAATCATTTTAAAGGTTGATGTTGCAAGGATTGAAGCTAATATAAATGACGAAACATCCAATATCGGCTGCGGTAATCAGATACACTCTGAATTGGATTATATGAATCAGATTGGTTTAAAGATACTACATTTGTCATCCTGTGTTATTTATCCATCCTAAAGTTTCTTATAAAAACCCAGTGATATCTTCACTTTTTATTTACGTGAAAAATTTTGATTTAGTCCATTTAATCCATGGATCAAACTTTATTTCCGTCCGACCAAGATTATGTCTATGAAAGAAATGCAAATTCACTAGATAATAACCTATTTAATGACATATTCACTCAGTTCATTGAACGCATCAAAGCCAAATGGCATGAAACTCCCGAACAATTATTGCGCGACTTTTTGTGCCAACGTAACAAAGACGTTAAGAAATTAAATAAGCGGGGAATTACGGCCAAGAAAGTTAAAGCAATATTGTGGCATGATGCATCTGCTATGTTATATAGTAACTATTTTTTCTACACACCAAAACAATGTGCGATCAAATATAAGAATATTAGACAGAACGAAAAAAAAAGGGTTAACCGAAAGCTTTGTATGAAATAGTTTATATGTATTCTGGTTCAATATTATCTCATTATTCACAATCGTAATATTTCACCGGTATATTTGTCAAATGATGGTATATTTTTTAAGTTTTTTTTTTTTTTGTTATTTTTTTGAGTATTTTTTAAGGTTGTAATAAATAAATAAAGTTTGTTGTGTGTAGTATGTTATCATTATAATGTGAATGAAACCTATGCGCTATTATAATTTACAAAAATTTAATAAATATGAATTAAAATAACAATGTCTTTTTTTGTTACAATTGTTTTAGATTAGCGAAACAATTACAATAGCATTTAGTTAGTTCGTTGTAGATCATTTGGTCAATTGTGTATTATTAGAAGTTCATAAAGATAATTTGAATTGATTATGTTTAACATGACCAGTTGAGAAATTGTGGCGGCGTAGTAACTTTTAATCTCATATAATTAATAATTTCCTAATAAGAAAGCAATAGAAAAAAAATAACCTTATTTTCTAATAATTTTCATTACTAATAATTCTATTTTATAAAATAGATAGTTCGATGCAATACGAAAGATTGTCAATAAATTATGGATACCTAGATTTAGATCACTATAATATTGAATATAATCGAATATAGTGTTATCTCGTTAATGATCATTTTGGGATTATGTCCCAGATTATCATTTCAGATAATGTTCCAAATGCTCACTTGGGAAAAATGACAAGTTCGGATAATATCCAAAATGACCACTTCGGATAATATTACAATTAGGTTAATTTTTAAGTGGTCAATTACTGGTTAAGACTGTTAACTTGTTAACCGATTAAAGATTTTCTTTAACCGGTTATTCTTAACACGGGCCGAAATTTTATTTTCTGCCAGAATTAAAGATTTACAAATATTTCGTTAGCTCCGCCAAAATTTATAGTCCGGCCTAAATTATATTTAAAACATGGTCAACAATTTTGTCAAATTTTTGTTTTGGCTTCCGATTACTAGTTAATTAATTTTTTATTTTGACAATCAAGTCCCTTAAAATGTAAGGATCGGCTGGCGTAAATTATTTTTCCTTTTGTAGAGTAGTCTGCGAATATTTTATTTCGTGTAACAAAAACAAAAAGGATTATTAATTATTGGCTTTTTTTGAACCACCCTAGATTTTCATTAAAAAAAAAAATTTTTTATTCAATATTTCTCGACTCAACATGAGCGACTCACCATTCCGCACCGTAACCATTGTTGGAGCCACTGGCACATTAGGTTATCACATCGCTGACGCCTTTTTGAATAATGGATCTTATAATGTGAAAGTTCTTCGAAGAAAGCCGGAAAACGTAAATGCGAATGCTAGTTCATTAGCCGAAAGGGGTGCAGAAATCGTATATGCGGATTACGATCAAATGGATGACCTTGTTAAAGCCCTTAGAGGAACCGATGTTTTAGTCAGTACCGTAAATGCTAGTGATGATGTTAGCTTTTACGAAACTCAATTACCACTGTTGATTGCGGCAAAAGAAGCCGGTGTAAAGAGATTCATCCCGTCTGAATTTGGTGGCGAGTTTCAGTGAGTTATTTGATTTTATTTTTTTTTATTTTTTTTTATTTTTTTTTTCATCTTTTTTTGGTTAATGTGTTATGTTGAGTCCTAATGATTTCATTTAATGAAGGGGTTCATCTCATCCGTTTTCGGATAGCAAAGCAAAATTCCGAGCAGAAGTTGAAAAAAGTGGACTTGAATATACGTTCATTTTCACCGGACTATTCTATGAATTTCTTGGCTGGATAGGGTTTGACGTTAAAAAGAAGAAATCCACATTCTACACGGATCCCAACTTAAAAATTTCTACAACTTCTTTACATGACATTGGTAAATATACTGTTGAGTCACTTAAAATCCCAGAGGCTCGTAACGCTCGCATCAGAGTTGCTGGCGCCACCTTTTCATTCAATGAGTTGCTTAAAAAGTTTGAAGCAGCTTCTGGTGAGTGTCTAACTTTTCATTCTAAACAATTTTACATTTAATACGGAAGTTAATGGTGACATTTGTATTAAGGCTCCAAGTGGGAAGTTGTTGAAGATAGGGAAGTACGAAAACGTTTCCGAGAAAAGATTGATCCAGTTCCCTTACCTCATGAGGATATGGCAGCCTTTATTTGCGAAAACACGCTATTCGCAAATACAGATAACGATAAATTCAGCTTCACTCCTAGTTCTATTAATGATGCAATCGAAGCATTAGTGAAGGGTGCTTAGAAAATTTTGTTTCATCATTCCTGGGCGCTTTTCTTCTATTATGTTAATAGTTTCATATTCAATTTGTAAAATTATGTCATGACAAATAAAGTTATGGTTTAAATTTTACCAACGATCCGAAAGAGGAACTTAAAGAATAATTTTTTTAAAAAAAATGAATAAAAAATATACAATCGCTGCGATTATACTCTATCTTTCTTATAAAAAAGTATCCAAATTACTCGTTGCATCATTGATTTTATTATAATATCTCTTAAACTCCTGAAAATTTCCTTCTTTTTATTTCTTTATCCCTCCATCCCTTATAAATTCCTTTTTTTCTTACAAAATTTTTACATTATAAACTTTGGATTCTTGCTTGGATAACGAAGAAATTTACTACTTTGATATACTCGATATCCCGGTGTGTATTTTTATTGAGCTTTTTTGAATGTATTTGTTTGACAATTCCTTGATTATTTAGATATACAAAAATTTAATTATATATAAAAAAAGCTATCTAAAGGAAAATAATTACGATTAAATAATTTGCTTCATTTTTTTTATAAGAATAATTATAAAAACCCTTTGCTTTAATTTTTGGTTTCGATAAAATTTCTTTCGTTCTTTTATTGATATTCCTTTTCTCTTCTTATTATCTATTTCGATTGATTTTTAATAATATCATTTTTAAAACATCTTTACGTCCTGATAATCCGTTTTAAATTTTTTTTAAAACATGATTAGATCAAAATATTTTGTCCGTGTCTTAAGGTAATTTCTTTTATTGTATTTTTCATTATTATTTAATTTATATGATGTTGGTCATCATCTATACTCTTCATCGTTTGTTTAACTTCATTTTAAATATTTTAATTCCAATTGTTTTTTATTAGGATCATCATCCCAGACAGCATTCCTGATGATCAACTGGCTTTCCATTTAACGCGGAGTATTCAAAAATGATGAATTTCTAAATACAGTACATCCGACTTTCTACCTCTTATAAATTCGGAATCCCATAAATCGATCATTCCAATCCCCACATCCCAAAGGCCATTGAATTAGAAGTCATTTCTGCTAAATATAAAGTCTGCTATCAATAATCTACTTATATATTCTATTGAAAAGTTTTTTTTAGAATTATTTTATTGCCAAGTAATTAGAATCAAAAGAAATCAGTCTTTGTAATTTCTTCATTATGTAAACACTTAATCCGCTAGCGATATCTAATGTCATACAAATATTATCTTTCCA